CAAAATCCCTGCTTGAGGCTACGATTATGGACACAGACACTAAGGCTCACAATTACTTAAGGAAATTATTGTCACCTGACAAAGTTCATTGATGATTCAAAATAAGTCAATACCATGGATTTAGAATCACATTGGAATTCAAAAGTGGAAAATTCTGCCACCTAGTGAATGTCTTGGACTAGAATACCAGGGATTTGTGTCAAGTTCTATGATACTTTGCATAAAGAACCATTTGTTTGGCAGCTATTTATTCAAATTAACTTCGATTCAAAACTAATTGTTGTATTTGAAAATTGTGAGCTTAAAACCAAATCAGTACTCCTACTTTTGCCTCACAAAGTGGGTCAAATAATTTAACAAACGACAGACAATTTTTGAAAATGTACCAACCACAACGGTGTGTTTCTGTCCATCTTTTACTTTCTAACACCGTGATACATTCATCAACCGCTAAAGGAACTGTGTAGGTAATTACGCATCACTTGGTTCTTCGAATGTTATGCACCATATGTTAAGGCACTTAAACGATTTGTTGCCAGTGTGACTTGATGTATGGCATTAATTAAAGTAGAACACAAACACGCAGGGGCACAGGCTGGATTTTAATGCATCTCTTTTCTGCATCTCCAGGGACGTGGCGAGGGCTTTGCTTTGAGCCTTGGTTTGTCGGCGTCTGATTCTATTTTTGGCGTGCCTAAATGTGCAGTGACCTTGAAAAGGCCTCCCACTTCTACCTCTCAGATGGACTGAGTACCAGGAAGTGCATCGGGGGTTAGTGTGTTTTCCGCTCACGTTTGCTGTGTATGTGTCACCATGTGAGAGTGTAACGACGTCGGCAGGAACGGGGTGATTGAATGGTCAAGGCTCAGAGCGTCTCCTCTCAGGGAGTTGACTGAAGGGACACGAGTGAGGAAGGAGGGTCAGCAGATGGGTGGATGGGTATCAGCGGGTGGGCTCATCACATGTCATCATACACTACGTGTGCGGCATACAGAGTAACATAAAAAGCAAGAGGCATCCTTCCAGCAAGCCTGCAATTATGGATGAATACTACAGGCTCTGGTGCACATAATAATTAGATATCAGCTAATTAGTTACCAATCAAACACCATTGTAAACGGGATTATGTGCAGTCAAGGAAACAAAACTCGGTGGGAGTTGAACACTGATTAGTTCACATCAAGGATAAGGAGGCTTAAGGAAGGCTCCGAGCCGCAGTAACACAGACACTTAGGTGTGTTATCCCTAAATGATCTTGAGCCGAACACAATCTTTCTGCTTCCTCTGGAGTCTACTGACGGTCGCTGGCTGTTGTGCGCTGCTCCACACACAGCTGCAAGCGAACAGTGTTCCGTTCAGAAGTCACTAAGCCGCACTCACATTACAGTTATTAAAAGATTACATCAGGGATCACACCGCGCTGTTTGATTAATTAACCTCGACTGATGCTTTGTGAAGCTGAATCCAGCCGAGGACGTACGTATGTCCAAAGGTCTGCATGTACATCAGCATACACACGCTACACACATATGAGACGTTCAATGGAGCACTGCCACTACTGTACTGACCCAGGTGAACTGACTCAGGTGAACTGGATCAGCACTGGATCAGTCAGTCCCTGCAGAAACACTGTGTGTGAGGAGCCATTTTATCAGACTGTGTGAAGAATTCTTCATTCAGACAGTGACCTCAATCTCACCCCCACCAATATGGAATCATGGGTCATAAAAAAAAAGACAAAAATAAGAAAAGATTGGAAGTCCACATTCAAGAAACATGGGAGAGTGCCAAATAACAGATGACAGAAATGCATTTAACAAGGTAAAGCTGCCATGTTCTGTGTTTTGTTAATTCAAATAATAATAAAAACATAAATAAAATAAAACACACATACATATACAGGTACAAATAACAAAGCTGTCCTCAATAACCAAGTGACTCATCATATGGATTCCAAGTACCTGCTGTGGTACACATACCTGAATCTGAGAACAACTGTTTTAGCATCATGTTAGAGTATAAAGTGTTTGATTACCTGGTTAAAATCCTGGTTATTCTAGAGAGCCTTAGACACCTGTAGTCCTTTAATTCTCCTAAACCTCACCACTGTTAAGGCGGCCAGAGGAAAAAAATAAGAGATTTTTTTTTTTATTGCAGAATCAAATTCATCTCAACTTCCTCCCTTGCCTTCAAAAGTGGACCAGTGTGGGTTTCTACTCTGCATTTCATCTTCTCGCTGCTTGTTTTTTTCTGTGCATCTCTTTCATCATTCTTATGCTTTGGGCTCCAGCCAGAGTTTGACAGCATCATCAAACTAACCACCGGGTCAAATCTGCATACACATACAGTGTGTAGTTCAAAAGGCCCGCTGACTCAGGACTGGTCTGGGTCGCTCGGCGTCACTACCCTGCATCCCAGGGCGTGGAGGTGAGCAACACAATGCGGCCGTAATCTGCAGGCCGGCCTATGAATAAAACATAACCGCTGCAATAGCCCTTAAATACGTCTTTTCATTTCCATTTTCAAGTGCAAGGCATATTAAAGTTTATGGTGGTGCAAAAGATCAATAATTTCTGTCCACCTTCACACTTTTTAGCACATATGCACAAGCCATACTGTAATATTGCACCGCATCAGCAGCCGGCCATACAGTTACACATTCACACACCACAATGAACTCTCCCAGTGTTCCTGGGACAAATGGTGAAGCTTAAATGATGTAAATTTTCAGCTTTTTTTTTTTACAGGGTCGTAATGACCTGCCATGACGCAAACAATTCAACCACTGGTTCTCCAACTTTTTATACTCTGTACCACCTGAGAAAACATTGAGCTCTCTGAGTACCACCATGATGACCAACATTAGAATATAGCAGCAGAGGCCTTCACTATTAGCTTCCACCACACAGGAGAGATGTTTAGAAATGTTTAGAAAGATGTTTATGTTTAATTGTGCATGGTATGTTTCAGATTTATTTAGTTGAAAATGTAAATGTCCATCCATCCATCCATTTTCATCCGCTATTCCGTTACCAGGTCGCGGGGGCAGCAGTCGCCACCCAAATCACATTGCACCGTACCAACCCCCTAAACCTTCCTGTGGGTGGTGAGTCCATTGGAAGGTACCAAAATGTAAATGTGAAAATGTGAATTTTCCCCATGTACCACTAGAGAGCGTTGGCGTACCACTGGTGGTACGCGTACCACAGTTTGAGAACCACTGACTTAAACAAAACCAATCCCTATGGCCCAGATGGCTGCAAAAGCAATGACCAGGAGAAAAAAAAAAATCAAATTAAAGAAATGAACATCATTGCTCAAGGAAAACATAATCAAGAATTATCTGTATTATTAAGTACAGTTCACAAAAGTCTCAGCGGTACATGGTTCAATTTCTATCTAATAGAAAACCCACAGACAGCTGTGTAAATGGTGCTGTGAGTAAAAACTCCTCGTGTCACAGAGTCACCCACCGCAGCTAGAAGCATCTACAGCCCACTATGTAAAACCAACGCGGCTCCAACAGTGTAATCCCACAAAAATGAGTGTTCTGGGGATGTTCAATACTGACCATGTTCTGCTGTAATACGCCTATTAATCCAGCTTGAGGCTGATTTATTGTCAAATAAATCCCATCTGCACCTGCTGCAGACACACACACAGACGGTGATGGGACTCTGGGTTTTCCTGCCAATGGATGATCATCAGCTCAGCTTTAAGGACAACACTTGGTAAATATAAAAAGAATAGAAAAGAACAAATCAAGTCTGCAGTCTAAGTAACTCAATGCCTGAGAACGGGGGGAAAAAGAATAGAAATTCTATTTCACCTGGGCCAGAGGTGCCCAATAAGTAGATCAGGATTGCAAAGGCAGTACTAGTTGATCAGGAGCAATTAAAATAAAAATAAAAAATACAATTTTTTTTATATTAAATCTCTACGACTAAATTAGCAACAATACCATGACTGAATCATATTGTGCCATACAGCTACAGCTATATAATCAATATATAATGCATATGTAAAGTTTATTTAGCTCTTATGGCTAAATATATATTAAATATTATCAATGTAGGTAGATCACTTTGGTCTGGTCAATTGTATAATCCAACAAAGTCTGGACACCCCTGACCTGGGCTGTCTTTTTGTTGTTGTCAAATGAATTGTTGAGACCTGCTGTTGGCCCAGTTTATAAAAAATGGATGAAGCTTTGTGGCTACAAACAAATGTGAAGCCCTAGAAGTAGCTGGTTTGGGAAGTGACTCGTGTCACTCCATTCATTCATTATTGTTGTTGTATGGGGAGAATGTATAAAATACAGACAAAATCTAAATATATATATTGTGGCATGTTTTTGGAGTGTGGTACAAAATCCACACACAGTTTATACAGAAAGAACTGGACTCGAACAGGAAACCACTTGCTGTAAGGCAAGAATGGTAACCACTTACAGTATTTCACCAGCCGGGATTAAATAAATGACTTAATGGCGCCTTCTTTAATCAGGAGAGGAGAGCAGAGGATCACCTTGTTGGCCGTTCTGTGTCTCCAGGGGAATTATTGTATAAAAGAAGTGCAATAACAGTGATGTTCTTAATATCAGTGTCTAATTCCTAATTAAACCTGGGTATTTATTTCACTATCTTTACTTCCAGTGGAATTGTTCTGTTTGTTAAATAGATGCTGTAAGGAAATAATATTTGTTCCACAGAAGTGCCACCAGTGGGAGTTCTGACCTCCATGTCTCAGCTGCAGGAATGAATTAAGACTATCAGAGAGATTTATAGGTATTTAGCTCATTCAACCTTCTGTGTCGTCCTTTAAGGAAGTCTCGTCTCTTGTCTTTATGAAGACGATCGTCGACTAAGGTGACACCAATTCTTGTTCCTGCTGCGCACAGAAAAGACGATTTGTTACTTTTGTGCTCAGGTTGAAATAATATTGGTAAGGTCTGAGCTGTGTTTTTAATATATAGTTATCAACATGTTATTGTATAAACAGTAACTTATTCCAAGCTGCAGCACTTCTATTTAACTTCAGGGGCTTTGGTTTTGCAGCCACAATTACTGTAGCAATGAAAAAGCTCCATCCATTTCCCATACACGTTCCATGGTTCCATCCTGTACATCCAAACGCTGGCTTGCCTGAAAGGCAATATATATATATATATATATATATATATATATATATATATATATATATATATATATATATATATATATATATATATATATATATATAGTGGTGATGGAGGAGGAGGATTTAAAAAATTCAGACTCTCTTTCTACTGAGTTTATTCCACATCATCATAGAGTAAAGTACTTCAAAATCACTGCATAGTAATAATGTGGACATGTAACAAGAGACGGATAATAAAATAGTTCTACTCTACTCTACTCTATTGTTAGGCTTTTTAAAAAAATCTCCACAGGAAGATCCTACTGTCTGTTCACACTGACCAAAAAAACAAGACAAAATGGCAGTGGATTATTAATATTCACATATTAATTCACACGTTTTCAGAAAGTGAGATGGACCAACAACCACACATTGTCTCTACCTTTACAGGCCGATTGGTTTTATTTATAGAAATCCACACCATAACAGCAGATTAACAGCCTCACTGTAAACGTCTCCAACCCAACCCTCCTCCCTCCCTGTCTTCCACCAACTTTGCTTATAAATATGTGACATCTGTGACACTTTGCTGACTTCATCCCTTGCTCTTTCCCCTCTCGGACTTGTTTCTGCAAAAATAATGACCCTTTGGTCCTGTTTCCACCACAGCACCGTGATACAGGCCGCAAATATGGCCGGGAATAATAATAATAATAAAAAAGGCAGTGTGCCGAAGGGTCAGCTGTGAACGAAGGGGGCTGTGGGCCTGCAGGGAGTTCTGCTGTCTAATGATAGACTGAACAATGCCACGGCTCACTCTCCAATGACACCGAGCTGCAGGGGTGAGACAGGCCCGTGTCAAAGGTTGGCGAGCTAACCTTTTCAGCAACTTTCCACCTGAACACTGCACCACACATGCGTGTCAGTCCCGACACCAGCCTGAAATGGAAATCCTCGTACAGTCAGAGATATGCGTGAAAGCGAACATGAGGGCGCGTTCGCTTCAGTAAATTAGTACCCGCAGTGTTATTATTGTAATTAGAGGGCTTTGAACGAGGTACAAACTCCTGTGACGTGCGCCTCCATCCGACAGCGTGGGCCCGAGACCTTCTACTGTATAATCACTATCATTTACCACCCTACAACACCGCTTTGTTTATTGAGATATTAATCTGGAGTAAACAAAGCTTTTGACAAAACAAATTAACGCTCTCAAAGAAGTGCTGTGCTAATGGAGTCCATTGAGATTGATATTAAACTGTGGGTGAGATGTGTGGAGGCAGGGGCTGGGAGGTGTTGGAAAAAAAACAGAAGCGGGCCCAGGGTGACGCACATTCCTCCCCTCGCACACAGTGTCTGTCTATCTAGTGTTTCCCCCTAAGGGCAGGTCCCAACTGAGCACTGGAGATCAGCATCAGCACATTATGTCTCTTCCAAAGAGGGAGGGAGGGAGGGAGAGGGGGGGAGCTAATGATGATGATGGTGGTGGTGATGAGAATGATGAGGATAAAGATGATAGCCATCATGTGTTTCCCATTAGGTCCTCCACCCTGGAGTGGAGCACTTCATCTTCAGGCCCGCTTGTTAAAATTCATTTGTACTCAGCCGACCGGACAGTGCTGCCACCCTGTGGCGTACGGCAACTGAGCCACAAGATCTGCACTTCATGTCAGTCTCTGCAGCTGAGCTGAGGACGTGTGCAAACTGTCTTTTCATTGGTTTTGACACACAGCTCAAAGGGTCAGCTGTGAGGCCGGGTCATAAACCATCAAACCACAAATGCACCTGTTGCATTCACTGTCCCATGGACCTTCTTTCTAAGCCTCGTCACACACTACAGCTCATACTGCACAATGTTATAAAAAATATATAACAAGAAAAAAATGGTCTTAAATCCTTATGATTCATCATTGTTGTCTTTAACTGTCTGTCTGTTTCAGTCACACACTGTAAAAAGGTAATATTCCAGCAGCTGGCAAAAAAAATCCTTAAAAAAGGTAAATCTCCATACTGAAAGATACAGTAATTCCCATGTTTGAAATAAAATTTAGTGCTGAAATTGTACATGATTATTATACCATTTCTTTTTGGTTTTTAATCTGTTTTAAAACAATGATATTACCAATTAACATGTTTTAAGTGTTATAAATAATGTAACAAATAATGAGATGAAAATTATGGCATATTTTAGTTTAGCCATTGTAAAATTTAAATAAAGAATTAAAAGTTTAAGCACATAGGCCAGTAATTCTACAAGTTTTTTATTTTTTTATTTTAACGTGAATTTTCAGAGATTTGTTAGTGTATTTTCATGGTATCTTTATAGTGAACTGACAATGACTTCCTTTGAAGAATTGGAAATATTACCTTTTTTTTCAGTTGCGGTCACTTTTCTACAGTGCAGCTAGAAGCTGTCCTTTGGGTTCCTCTGGAAACGGGACAGCCAGGCCGTGCCAAATGTCACAGTGACTGCATCTATTTTCTGCTCACGTTCTGCACACGCACACCACTCTTATTTGCTGCAGGTATATGAGGGAGATCTGAGTTAAAAAAAAAAAAATCAAAGAATAAATCAATGTGAATATATATTTTCCCAAAAATGTACATAAAAACCGATAAACCATAACAAATATCAATAAATAAAGAATAACAGAAGGCAAACTCTCAGCTGTGTAAAGGTCAGACAAATTCCAGCTGCATAAAAAGTGCTTCATGACTGTCTCTCTCTTGACAGGTAATTTCTCAAATGTATCGCTTGCATAATGTGGCATATTGGAAACGTGTTCCTTCCAATCAGTCAAGCGTAGCAGTCATTTGCATGGTATATAGTGATCTCCTCTGTCTCCCAGGGTGGTCTGATTCACCCCTGTCCTCAATGCACCTGAACACTTCAAAAAACAAAAAACAAAAACAACTTCGATTTGATTGCTCACGGCCACTCGTTTCCTCCATTGTTTGATATGCATTCAATTCAGGTCTCAAAAAATAGTTTTTATAATGTGTGTGCACATACAAAAGTCAATCAGTCCCTCTTTCTCTCCATCTACATATCAGCCATTCACATTTAACCCTCATCTTAAGGTAGTAAAATTTAAATAAATGCCATCATCCTACATGCTGAACCCATGTTGTTATAGTAATAGCAAATTATTTAGGTATTAGTGACACATTTGTCCCAAAAGGACCAAGTTGTCCTTCTTGCCCTCGTATCGTAAAGTAAAAATGATCAGACTGTTATGATCTTTTGACCTCAAAATAATATTACGTGCTTCGGGACATCACAATGAAGGTGTCCCCCACTGACTACAACCACGACCACAAGAACTGCCTTGCTTGACCAAAAAACATAGACCTTTCAGTAAAACTCCATAACGGAAAGTTCAAAGTTCCAACAGCATTACCAGCACATAATGGATTATATTACATAAGTGGTGCAAAATATTAAATATTTTTTGTGGACATAAAAAATAATCTACATTTGGCATCCCCCCCCCCCCCTTCTCTTTCTTTCTCTCTCCATTGGAGTGACAGGTGGCAGGGGAGGGAGATAGAGTGCATCATTCAAGTCACAAACTCCAAAACATTTTTATTTTTCTCTTTTGGCTGTTTGTTGCAGTACAAGAAGTAATCTTTCATAGTATTTGTTACCTTTTGTTGCTTTTGATCATCTGGTGTCTCTATTTACATAGCAGGAATAAAGTAGATTCATGAATGGATCCTATGTACACGGTTATACAAATTGGTTGACAAGTGCATTTGCGACACCTTGGAGTCTCGGTCGTCACAGCCATACACAGGAATCAAGTCCACTTTAACTGTCTAGGCTCTAACAGCAAAGTACACAGGGAAAAAAGGAAGGGGTCAGGGGCACAAGTCTGCGCTCGCCGGACCCAGAAGAGTTAGATCTAAAGTCAACAAATTTAATACTCTCATCAAAACGATATCAAGGCAGTCTATAAACTTTTTAAATGCCTTACGCAAATCACCAGAGAGAACAGTTGAGAGGTTTGGTCAGTCTTAAGGGGTGCGGGTTCCACACCACCTCAGTCTCCATCTCTGCATCTACTCCACTTCTGTCCATTGTCATTGATTCATCACAAAGAAAGATGAAGGCAACACTGAAACAGCTCTCACTACCAGTTCAAGACAAAAGCTCTTGCTCCATTTTACAGTGATGGATTTATATTTTCACTTCTGATGTTCCTTAATGAGTACTCGAAGATGAATTCCCGTGTGTGTATATGTGTGGTTGTTTTGTGAACGTTCTAGTTTCTGTTCTGGCTCAATAAATGATATTTTTGGCAACAATGAAGAGCTTTCTGTGAGACTTTCTTTTTTTTTTTAGGTTATGATACTGAACTATTTTCCCTTGTCTTCACAGCGACTACTTCTATCAAATAATGATTTGAAAAAGACCCAAAAAGACCTATGGATGTTAAGAAAAGGGAAATGAGATATAAAGTATAAAATGATATTCTTGTCTCTGGAGGCAAGTCTGAAGAACAATTACATAAAAACCTTTAACAAAGTTTTAAAGTTTTGAAATATATGAAGGTAAAGGATGAGTGGGTACATTCAGTGTGCTGGACTTGGCCTCGGGGTACCAAAGGAACAAGGGAAGGACTGGGCTTGGTGAGAGCATAAAAATGCTCTGTTGAAAAACACCCATCACTCATCCCTCCATAAGACAAGGATGGGGGCTGGGGGAGGTTAAAGATAAAGGCTGTTTCTGCAGAGTCAGCCGTGACAACCCCGAAGGTCGCTCCGTTTGTTAAATAAATGTCAAGAGAAAGAAAGGCAACCAAACAAGCAGAAAGTGGAGAGATGCAAGAACGAGGCGGAACAGGAGGAGGGAGAGGTTCTGGCCATGACAGTAGTCCCTAAGTTCCTCCTTCAGGTTCCAGTCACAGGCTGGTGACCAGCTGCATTTGTCCGTCCCCTTCACTGTGGGCAGGCTCTTGGGCCGGATGTCCTTCCCCACTCGGTCTCCGGGGTGGGGCCTGGTAGAAGGTCTGCATGGGAGCGCCACGAGAGCCCAGCGCAGGCCTCCCGGAGCTGTAGTACAGCTCCTCGGGGGGCTGGGCTGAGCGTGGGACCACCTCCAGGGGCGCAGGACTGCTGTC